ATTTGGGCATCTCGGGGGGAGTGAGGGAAGAAGGCAGGGGCGGCGGGAAGCGTGTGGGGATGGCGGACATAGGGACACCGCGCCGCCTCCGTCTCGGTGGGGGGACTTCTGGGGGCAGATCACAACCAAACAGCGGCTCCCCGGTGGTGATGGACCCCTATGCGTTCAGTTTTGAAATGCCACCTTTAACGAATATAAAAAGCAGTGAATTCTGGTGACTCCTCTGGTGGCGCCGAGCTGGTGAAGCAGGCTGCTCGTTTGTCATGCTGCGGCTTCATTGCCACACTCATGGTATGACTTAGTAGGTGCAGAGGACTGAAGCAAAGCTGCCCTACGCACCCTGTGTTAACGAGGCTTTACTGGTGCTTGTTCTCCCTAGGCTCTAGCCAACATCGACATCGGAAGCCTGATCTGTAATGTAGGAGCTGGTGGTGGTGGTGGGGCTCCAGCTGCAGCTGCTCCTGCTGGTGGTGCTGCACCCGCGGGTGGTGCTGCCCCTGGTAAGTGGGCTTCTGGGTCCGATGTAGTGAGCTTCAGCTGGAAGAGATTCTTTGTTAAAATGCTACTTGTTAGTAGCTGGAGAGTCAGCTTGGCTCTTCCGTATGGACATGAGTCTCCTAGAGCAAAACAGACCCTCACCTTTAGAAAGGCTGGAATTGCACTTTGAGTCAGTGTACAGGATTAGTGTTACCTCAGAATTAAAGCTGATATTTCTGTATACCATCAGGATCTCCTCTAAAGTATTTCAGATGTGATAGAAATTAATTTTGAGGGCACAAACCCACTGTCCTAGCAGTGGAAAAACTAGTCACCCTGGGTTGTGAGCTTAGCTTGTTAGGATTGCTCAGATCTTGATGTTGGTCATTGTCTCTGAAGTCTTCAGTGGCATGTGACTTTCATGAGCTTATAAAATGGAAAAATTCTGATTCCTTTCTCCTTTTCTAGCTGAGGAGAAGAAAGAAGAGGAAAAGAAAGAAGAGTCAGAGGAATCTGATGATGACATGGGCTTTGGTCTTTTTGACTAATTAGTTTTGTACCTGCCTGTAATAAAGAACATTTAATTGTATTCTTGTCTCTTACGTGGATGCATGTGAAGGGGAGTGGATGAAGGATGACCGGTTACTGCTGTCACGGCATGTTAAATGAGAGTTTTACAACTTTCCACGTTGGTTCTTCGTAGTTAACGTAGGCAGAGTTAGAGCTCCCAGTCGCATTCATAGTGCATGGACAAAGGTGGAAACGTTATCACAGCGAGCACGGCATGTGCTAACAGCTCGGCAAGTAGAGGATGTGGTCATGTAAGTAAACGTGTTATGACTTGGTACTGCAGCCTCTTGCCTGCAACATGTCTCGTGAATGCTTTAGCAACAGTGCAGCTTCCAGTACCACGTCATTTAACCTGTTCAGGGGCAGCTGAACCTGTGGCACAGCAGGGATGATCCGCGTTTCACAGCAGAGGACAGTTGTTGAGCTGAAGGGTGGGGAAAAAGGCTGCAATTTTCAGCTGGAGAGGCTGTTGGAGGCTAAAGCTAGTATTATTTATTCATGAGTAGATACAATTAAACAGCAGATTGAGTTTTGCACCAAGGCTAGGTTTTGTAAGGCGTGTAATTTTTTTGCCTTTCCAGAAAAAAAATTAGAGCATCTCTGCAAACTGCTTTGAAGGATGGGCAGTTAAGAATGTGTAACTTTACATGGGAAAGGAGTAACTTAAGTATGTTACTTCTTCCAGAGCAAATGAAGAAGGTGAGGGCTTTCTCATGTGTATTCTAAAATATTAAAATTACATATTAGCAAAATCTTCCGAGTGTGTAAAGACTCCAAAATTGTGTGGGAGGGTCGTTCCACTTGCAGACCGAAAACTGATGCACTCTGCACTGTCCCATCTTCCCACAAAACTGGAACTCATTTGTTTTTTTTGTAAGATGCAGACACCTGTGGAAGAATTTAGTCCATGCAACCCCCTGCCGCTGCTGAGAACTCTACTTAGAGTTTCCAAAACCATTCCTGCAAACTGCTCAAGTGCTATATCCCCCCACCCACCCTTAAAAGAAACCTTCCCCTAGGATTTAAAAGTCTAAGGAGTGACACCAAGTAATTTTAGAAGTCACTTAGCTGGATGATAACACTTTGTTCCCTGTGTTCCACAGTTGGAGGGAAAACTGCTTTCTGCATATTACTTAAATCTTGGATTTTCTTCTTGAATGCCTCAAGTCCTGTGGCCTATTATTTTAAGAATAAGTAAATTCTTCAAAGCTTGCAGATTAGGGGGGGGGCAAAGTTCCAAGCAGAGAAAACCCGCAGTAGTTTCTTGTGCAACACACACACAGAATAATATAGGCAAAATTTCACTGGTAACACCTTTTTAATAGGTCAAAGTAACTGTACAGTTCATTATATTCTTCCTGAGAATAATTTATATCCCTCAACAGCAAAAAGGGAGTGTGGTTTTTATTTTAACAGAACAGATGGCATAACTGGAAAACCAAGGAAAATCTAATTACACTGCTCTACTGTAACTCCTCCCAGGCAAGATAGACAAAAGGATGGGTTAGTTAACTACAGCGGGTTTAAAATATTCAACATGGCTTTAATCTGTCTTTATAAATTATATAAAAATGGGGGACATGAATGGTTACAGAACTCCTCTAAATGCAGCTCTGAATTGCTCTGGTACAAAGCAGCATTTTTGCTTCCAAGGAAAACAACATTGCTACAAAAGAACTGGCACGTTATTCTGGTGGAAAAGATGAGTTCTCAGTTGCGTTCTACAGCTAGTTCCAACCAAATGCTTCACACATTCACATAAAAGTAAAAGGCAGGAAGATGAAGAGGGCTTTAGTTTGTCTTGAAATGACTGAAGTCTTGAAAATATAGCTTTTTATTCTTTCTCTGTAAATTGTGATTAGCATATTGCGACGTAAGTGTTCTAATAAAAAAATTCCAGTCTGGATAGTTCATATACTGTGGGCAAGAATTCTCAGCCCTGAGGTTTCCCCGAATTCTTCACTTCACAATATCTTCCTCTGATCTGCTGCTCCAACAGTTTTGGCTCCGAGACCATAACCCTGTGGCAGCTCTAGGCTAAGCGTGTCCCATGCGATGGTATAAAACTGAAGTGTGCTCCATAGCTGTGATTTCCCGAGGACTTCTGTACAAACTTCATCTTGTGATAATGCCACTTTTTGAATCCCAGACCAGCTTGGCTTTACGATAAAAACTTAACTTGGTTAAACGTTTGTAATGAGAGAGAACCAACAGCTGTCAGTCAGGTCTGCTGAAGCAAGAGGCGCTGGAAAGCCAGGACTACACCGGGTTAATCCTCACTGCTGGTGGAAGGTGAAATAACATCCTTTCGCAAGCAGAATTTTTAGACTGATGAAACTCTTCCCTCAGTACTTAGTGCGGTCTGGACTGACTGATCATTTTCAGTCTGGCTTGATCAATAACATCCAGCAAGTTTTTTGCATCCACAGCCAGAGCGTGAGCAGCGGTGAGCATTTGCTTTTTGTACTCCTGCTGCAGGCTGGTCATGACGTACTGCTGTGCCAGCTTCATCTTGTTAATGAGCTCGGCCAAGTCTGAGTTCAGCAGCTTCTGTGCCATCTCAATCTGGAACAAGAAGATTCAGTCAACTCCGTAAGTTGTTGGAAGCATTGCACCGGTGACAGCGACGCTACAGAGCAATGGCGCTATCTACCCTCCCTCAACAGCCCCTGCCTGGGATTTCCGGTCAAAGCTGGGGCTGTTTCTGTGGACACCGCGTGGAGCAGATGGAATTTCAGCACCGGCTGCTCTACGCTGTGTGGAGACCAAGAGCAACCTCGTCAGCCGCCGAGTCGCCCGCTGTTAAATGGCACCAAGACCCAAATCGCCAATAGTGGATTTTAACCCATGTCTTAGAGTCAACACCTTGTTAGAGGTTTCTAAGTCATCACTCTTTTTATTACTATTATTAAAGTAGCTCTAAAAAACAGGTCAAGAAGCTGGATACAGGTTCCTTAACCACGTAGCTAAGTCAGGATGATTCTCTAAGACAGCACTTAAAGAACCATTCTCTGGCTTTCTCATTATCACACCCATTCAAGGTTTTGGAGGAAAATGGGTTTACTCCTGACTCGTGAACTTCACGGAAAGATCTCAGTCACTTCTCATCCAGAACTAGGTTATTATGGGATATCTCATCAAAACCTCCCAGCTGCACTGAGCTGTGCTCCTTTACCTGTTTAATGACTTTGCGTGCAAGCTGTAATTTAATGAAAGATTAAACTTGCACTAAGAAGTTCCATGTAAGCACTGCTAACAGTTGTTATGTCAACTTCATTTGTGTGCGTCTCGTATGCTCTTCAATTACATCGAGTTTGAGTGTCTTCACTTAAATCAATACAAGCCTATGTCTGCACAGCAATTGGATTCTAATAAAATTCAGTTCGTGAAGGATTATAACCCGAGAGCTCATACTGCTTAGTGAGCCAAAACACACGCATATGCGAAGAAGAGGGAGCCGAGACGTGTCCAGACAGCTGTCCTGGCTGAGGCTAACTTGAATCGTAATGACTGCGGGTCAGCTGGGGGGACCTCTACGTACCTCTCTGTGGGTGCTTGCAGGAAGCACTGGGAGGGTCTCATCTACTGTTGCCAGTAAGGTTCTTAGTGCCAAACCCACCTCCTAAGTAAAAAAAAAAAATTAAGGAAATAAACTTTAAAAACTTGGAATGAATGGATAAGAGAATTGTAAGAGTGCAGGACGCAATAGATACTTAATCCCTCATCTGGATAAGAAGGGAGTTAGAACATGGCTTTAAAATCCCACCTGCAATTCTGTGTTTCACCATGAAAACCAGATGGCAAAGGGTTAATAAAAAGAAAGGTTTTTCTTAAAATAGTGAAACGTGGAGAAGATAGAGCACAACTGCCTGCCGCTGGATAAGCACAGGCAAACTGGGGAATAAAAGCACCGCTGCCCACAATACTGGTAACAGTATCCAAAGCTCCAGCCCTGTGACCACAAGTTACCCCCCTGCAAACACAAAAAGCTTTTCTGCTTCCAACTTTCCAGAAAGTTTCTCCTACGCCACTTGAAGACCTCATCCAGGAGAGAACCAAAACACTGATTTTAGGAATTGCCTCCATACCTTTACCATGGGTACGTACTCCTCTGGCGGAGCCGGCTGTATTTTACTGGACATTTCTATGACCGCTTTCACCAGTCCGGTTACATTCTCGTAGACTTTGTCGTTTGAGCGGTCCAGGTTGGCCGTAGGAGGAGGGCTGATTTCCTGCGGCTGAATCTGGAAGCAGAGAAGGGTTGTTGAGCCTCCTGTCCCCAGCAGATGGGGCTCAGCAACTTCCCAGCCTCTGCAGACAGCCGGGAAGGTCTCATACTCCCAACCGCCTCCCGCCCTGTCCCACTGGGTCCCCTGTCCTGGCTGAGCACGCATGCTCCCAGATCTGAAGGAAATTTCCTTTAGTTCTTCTGACTGAACCTGATCTGTGAAATGACACTGGGGAATTTTTACCAGGATTTCCCTGAAGAGCTTCCAGTATAACTCTCACAACAGAGAAGAAAATAATTTGAGGAACGAGGAGTACAGAGTTCTTGACACATCTAAGTGGTTCACTACTGATGGACAAGTTCCACTGCTACGGCAACAGGTATCAGGTCCCTCGTTCCAGAAAGTTGTTTTGTGCTCCAAAACAATGTCCGAGTACATAGTTAACATACTGACATAGTGAAGAGAGAATATTGCAGTACATATTACTGTTTCATTAGTGAAAATTCACAGCAGATTAAAAAAACTGGTGTCAACCAGTACAGGTGGGAAACACCAAATGTTTTCATACAGTTTGTTTCCAAAAGATCAGAAAAAAAGCCCCCAGTGTTAAAAATCCTGTAGTCTTTACTCAAGCAAAACTTTCATTGAGTCAGATCTGTCTGGAGTTAACTCCATGACAGACTGAAATAATCCTGGGTCAGAAAAGAAACAAAACTTTGAAAACTTCCTCTGTAAGGTCCTCAGTATCTCTGCTCCCAAACTGTAAAACTACAAGCATCCCTGTTCCCTGCAGTTCTTCACTGCTGTGGGATGCCCAAGGAACCACCTAGTGGGAGCAGAACGTTAAAACATTGCTTGTTTCCTACTGGTCACAGCAGCCATCCACCCTGTTGACCTGAGATGGCTTATGGCACTTCAGCCCACCACCACGCTGGGTTACTACTGGTTCTTACAACTGGTCCTAGCTTCAGAGATGTTCCACTGGAAGCACCTGAGATACTACACTGATGAGCGAGTGCAGACCCTCCAACTACCCTGTTGGGAGCAAGTCTAGAGGGCCACAAAGATGGTCAGAGGGCTGGAGCACCTCTCCTACGAAGACAGGCTGAGAGAGTTGGGGTTGTTCAGCCTGGAGAAGAGAAGGCTCTGGGGAGATCTTATTGCAGCCTTCCAGTACCTGAAGGGGCCTACAGGAAAGCTGGAGAGGGGCTGTTTACAAGGGCATGGAGTGATAGGACAAGGGGTAATGGCTTTAATGTGAAGGAGGGTCGATTTAGATTAGATATAAGGAAGAAATTCTTGACTGTGAGGGTGGTGAGGCACTGGACCAGGTTGCCCAGAGAAGCTGTGGCAGCCCCATCCCTGGAAGTGTTCAAGGCCAGGTTGGATGGGGCTTTGGGCAACCTGGTCTAGTGGAGGGTGTCCCTGCCCATGGCAGAGGGGTTGGAACTAGATGATCTTTGAGGTCCCTTCCAACCCAAACCATTCTATGGTTCTATGATGAAATTACAAAATACTTAGATGAAACTTTGTCCGAGGAAGGAGTGCAGGATTTAGTGCACGGTGATTCCATTTTGTTGCATTTCTCTAAGTGGGTACTGACACCTATTACAGAGATTCAATCTAGTGTATCGATCAGAAAATACTTTAGGAAAAAGAACATTTTAATTGCCTCAGTCACCAGTGAAAGGCTGCAATTCTAGTTGGTTTCAGCAATCGAGAAGTTAAACAGTCATCTGGCAAAGTCACATGCAAAGACATTTTGGAATAGGGCACGTACACACGCTCACGCACTGCTTACCCTCCATGGCTATGGTTGAGCAGAATGTGGGGGAAGGTTAAAGAAATTTACCAAAAGAAGGGAAAAAAGAAAAACAATATTAATAAAACCCAGCAGGAAAAAAAAAAAAAAAAACAAACCAAACCCAAAACATGTGTAGCAATAAGAGACCAGTTAAAAAGCCTGCAACAAAAACGCATCCTCAACAGTACTGGCAGTCATTCGTGTTAGCTCTTGGCCCATTTGTTACGGAAGCACCGTGTGCTGGCAACCTGCTGTGCACCCGCGCAGGAAGTGGAAGTCTCTGCCATGCACCCATGCTTTCTTTTTACTAAACACATGGGGAAGAGATCATGCAAAGCTTGACAGGAGCAAGCCAGTCTGGCGAGCAGCAAAGTGGTGAATGGAGTAGAGGGCCTCTGCAACGGTGGGAAACAACATGTCCTGCGCAACCCTGGGCCCTTTATACAAACAATCCAGTACTCAACAGATTTAAGAAAATGTTGCCTTAATCTTTCTGATTTTTTTTTCTTTAGAAAAGATACAATGTGAAATACACGGTCATCTAACTGTGCAGCTCCTGATCGCGATGATTTATCGCAGTCGTGGCTAAGAGCTACCAAGAACTCATTCTAAACGGATTATACCCAACCCACTTAATTCCTGAGGCCAGGCCCTAACATTTCAAGAGTACGGACATCTGCGTTTCTTAACACTCAATTTTTGTTTCTGTACAGGTACCTAACACAAATTACGTAGGTGCCCTGCGTAATTTTGGTCTGTCAATACTACAAAGGCTACACCTGCTTTACTGTTCTAGCAGAGGAGATGTGTATCTTTATGTGCCTTACAGTAAACATATCGTTTGTAGGAGCTACACTTCAATCTGTATTTCTACTGAAGCAATGCAGATAGAAAAGGTTGTGGAATTATTCAACAGGATTGCTCTGCAGACTATGAAGTCAGAAGTTTCTTTGTGTGGACTGGCTGACTTTGCCTCAGCAAGTAACAGAAAGCATGTATTTCCTGGTGCGTGCCCTAAAGGCTCCCGAGGGCAAGCAGTTCAAATTCTCTTAATTTGTATTCTGCAGAAAAAGGAGACTGAAATGGGACTCTCACATGAGTGTACAGAAAAGGGAGTCTGAAATGAACCCCAAAGCATCTTCAGTTTAGGACTGCAGACTTAAAGTAAACTATATGCTATCAAAAAATAATGGGCTGTTTTCTTGAATGGGCATAAAACAATCCAATTTCAAGAAACTCTTGACAGAAAAAACAAAATCAGCCCTTCTTTTCTACTGAAGAAGCCACTTAGTACACAAATCGTGTTCACTTGTTATTTCTGATGACTTTGGCCGCTCAGGTTGGTTTGTTGTCAAAAGGATGTATTTCAGAAAACACTTTTCATGTTCCAGTATCGGCATTTAGAAAGGAAATTTGAGAGAAGCCCAGTTTACACATCTGTTACTTCTTTTTGACATTTTCTGAGGTCTGGCAGCTTCAAAAGCACTGGCATCACTTTATAATAAACGATGCTGCTCAAATTCACCGCTGCTGTCTATTTACGCTGTTTCTTAAATATTCCAATAATCTCCAAACAAGAGAGCAAGAGTGAGACAGGCAGGCAGTGGGCTGAGATCGATTTGTGCTAAACATATTGCTTTGATGGCAAGTTTTGAATTTCACGGTCAGATGAACTGGATTTGTTTCTGTATTTTCTTCAACAACCTAAAATAAATGTCGCTTCTCACAATAGCTGTGTCCACTACGACATGGATCCCCGTTCTTTACTACAGGCTCGGCAGGGCTCAGATTAGCAGGAGGTTCTCCTTCTGCGAGGAGCTGTACTATTAGCACTAGGTGCTGTATTACAGTAGGGATTGCTCCGGTGTGTTTGCAGAAGCCTCTGCTCTAACGCCGACCCCGTTGTTCTCCTCTCAGGGAACAGCTGGAGCAGAAACACATCACCTCCCTGGGCGCTACTGACGGCACAGGAGCAGCAGGAGGAGCGATCCTGCTCTAACGCTCTGGTCCCTAATGCTGTCGTCAGACAGGCAACAGTCTTTGTGGAGGGGTATTTGTCCAGCTGCAAAGGTTGTGAAATAATAGAACGGCGATGTGTACAGATCAGCTGCGTTTCTGTGAGAGTATTACTGACAGAGAATTCCCAACCCCTAGTATATGTAGCTGCTGGAAATTGCTAGCATCAGAAACAACTCCACTGGATCCCCTCGGGAGGCCCCGAGGTCACTCAGGTTTCTGTTTCCTGAAGATTAGAAAGGTAACAGCGTCCCAAAGGCAGGGAACCACACCTAGACGCACGATTTTAAAACTGACTGACATACTAAGGAGCAGTTCCGTTGACACCAACTGCAACAGGGGACAGGACGCTGCGTTTCACAGCACCCTGCAGCATCGCTCTGCTACAAAACTGTCAAGTTTCCATTTTGGTTTTATTACCTATTTACTGGAGACGTAACAACACATTCGAAAGTATCTCAATCACAGGTCAGACACAGCCCATTTCCCCTCTTCCCTTGTTTCCCCAGAGCTAGTAGGGTTTGAGGAGCCTTGGTGCTGCAGCAAGAGCTTTTTGGAGCATCACAGTTCAGACATGTCTCACTACTCTGTGACCGATGACGGCAAACTTTGGCAACTGGGAACCCTGAGTGTGCTCTTTTCTGCTTAAAAAAGGTGCTGAACAGGGAGGATGGGTTCATACAGAAGACCTCATATGATCTTCAAACTAGAAATAAACTCGCCTGGTAAAGGTTCTAGGTGAGGAACATGCTGAATCACAGTAATGCAGGATATGAGCCTACCAGTTAACTCCCCACTTCCCTGGAGAGCTGCCAGCGCATGTTTGCCCCATGACAACATTTACTCGGGAAGTTTAGTCACTTTTGCTTTCCGTGGTCCCTACTCCAGGAACAGCAAACTATCTCAGAGTGGTCATGTTTAATTTTCTGAAGCACATTTCATGTGATGCTGAGCAACGTACCTTCACGCCTTCGTTGTAGCTGTCCACAGGGCTGTTCAGGCTTGCAAGGCTGCCCAAGTGGCTGGGGGCTCCAGGGCGGGGAGGTTTCTTTGGTGGAGCTGCGTGATCTGGTTAACAAAACAACGTGCATTTTAGAGGACTAACGTATCAGATGTGCCCTGCGTAATTTTGGTCTGTCAACACTACAAAGGCTACACCTGCTTTACTGTACTAGCAGAGGAGATGTGTATCTTTATGTGTCTTACAGTAAATCCATCATTTGTAGGAGCTACACTTCAATCTGTATTTCTACTGAAGCAATGCAGATAGAAAAGGTTGTGGAATTATTCAAGTTTTTCTGCAACTATGAGAACGTGGCTGTTTTAGTAAGATACTTCAAAAATTCCTTCATGGGGCAACCGCTACTCATAGTATACCTATCCCAAACCTGAGAGGTACTCACCCCTTTGTACCTCAGCTGAGTGCCACACATGCTGTGTATGTCTGGGAAAATCAGACTTCTCCATGGCAAAAATCCTGGGTGTGATTCCCTTTGAGATTGAGAAATCTAAATTTAGGTGTCTACTTTTGTTTTACATGTCCAAACTCCACACACAGTGAAGTCCTACACAGTGACTCAGCTTCCTGTAGACACTTCCCACCTATCGATGAAACACTTTCTTGGCTTTGCTGACTACAGCTCTGGGAATTGAAACACACAGTGCACCGAAACACCTACGTGTAGTTATCTGGAATTGAATCCACCCCTTGTATGAAAATACCAGCAAAAATCTTTGTTCACTCCTGCTGCTAGAAGAATCAAGGATTCAAGATGACGGTATATGAATTCATTGCTTACCTGGTTTACCCACAGGCTGATATATGTGCTGGTTACCAGCCTAGAAAATAAAATACGCAGACTAGTTATTACAGTGCTCGCAACTTTCATCAGCACAATCTCAAACACTGAGAGTAGCCAGTTCTCAGCACATTTCCCAACAGTTAAAAACACATCCCTGTTCACCATCATTAGCTAAGGTCCTAACTACAGGTGTATTACTTATAGAATAAGAAAAGAATTTTCATTTATTTTGTATCACTCACGCCCTGGCGTCTACATTACCATTTCTCCTTCATTATCAATCAAATGTGGTGGTATATTCACAACCATTTTTAGTCTGTATTCAGAGATCAAACTGTAGAAGTCAGGGTGGTGAAGAAGAAATGGCAGTGCGACAATTAGAAGACTAAGGTAGTTCCGCGCTGCTGAATGGTTTCCGTAATGGTAACGGATTTCTAAGCTGGTTTTGTTGCAAAGCTCTTCATCGAGGTCAATTTGCTTATTCATCTGGAAGTATTTAATAATAGATTGAAGTGAATTTCCTTGTAATTATATTTATACAACCTTCATGCCAACCTCAGTCGCCGAGGCGAGCAGCTCTAGTGCCGGCATGATGGGCAGCGGAGAGACCCGCCAAGAGCCCGCAGCTCACGCGACAGCAGCTTACAAGGGCAGGGCCAGGAGCAATGGTGGCCAAGCCTCAACACCTACCACAGAAACCCCTGGGGAGCGCTAGTGACCAGGAGCGCCTCAAACAGGGCGCGGTGTGGCAGCTGTGCGGCAGTTTGAGCTGGAAGGGTGCTGTAACTCTGCCAGCTCGACCTGGGCGCAATGGTATCCACCCGGCAGAAGGCCATGGCCTCTCTAACCTCTGCACCCACCACAACTGACAGAGCTGCGGTGGGGACACGCTGCCACCCAGGTGTCAGGCTGCAGGCTGTGCCCTGCTCTTACACCAGTACAGGACAGCAGCAGTGAGCACACCTGTGGGAGGTGCAACCAGGTGGAGGAACTCCTCTGCTCAGTGACAGAGCTCTGGGAGGAGGTGAGCAGGTTGAGGAGTATCAGGGAGAGCGAGAGAGAGATAGACTACTGGAACCGCACCCTACCTTCCCTGGGACAGGCCCAGCAGGCAGGCAGGACACGTGATTTGGGGAAACACCGTAGGATTCCCTGTCCTCTCTCTGCCTGGCAGAACATTGTGACTTAAGGGACAGGGGCCAATGGCGACAAGTTCCTGCCCGGCGCAGCAGGCACATCTCTGACTCCCCCCCCACCTTCCCAGGTGCCCTTGCATAACAGGTACGAGGCTCTGCAAGTGGAACTGAACAATGACAAGGACGATGGTCTATCTAGGTTGGAGGTGTCACCAAGGTTAAGCTGGCCTACACCCTCCATCAAAACAGCTTCCATAACAACAAAAAAAATGGGTCATTGTCATAGGAGACTTTCTTCTCTAGGGAACAGAAAGTCCAGTATGCCGACCAGTC